TCGCCAGCCGGTTTCCGACGTTATTTCCGTATTTAATTAACTTGGTCGAGCGCCTATTTTTTAACTGCTCATTTGGCGGCGCTTTCGTGGACAGCAAGCAGATGTACTGTTCCACTCGGAAATGTATCTGGTATCTGGCTAGCCAGTACCCAACCCGAGCAAAAAAAACAAGGAGAAAGGAGAGCAGTCAGGCTGACTTGGAACTTGTGATTCGTGCTGTGCTTCAGAAAACCAACTCGCCGCTCTGTGATTTCTGTGTCGTTTCCTGCATCGTCTCCAAAGCAAGCCGCAGTAAGCCCTCGAGCCCCCATTATTCCAGGTGCTGGGGGGGCGGGGGTATTGGTGCAAAGTGGACGTTACCAACATAACCACGGACCCCTGCAATGCACCAAGTTTCCCGTTTCAAGCACGCACGCATGCACCACGCAACCACTGAAAGCAGGAGTGTACACAAGACAGAGATCTTCCCTGTACTTGCAGACAGGCAACCCCAGCCCTGCAACCGCGAGGCATTTTTACATGTTTTGCAGAATGGTGGCCAAATGTCCAGATCTCAAATCTAGATCCACTAGCACGACTAACAAGGGAGACGCACGCGTCCCCCTCAGAACTGGCACACTGGCCAGGTCTAGTCGCACAATAACCCCCCCCGCAAGGCGCACTAGACCTGCACTGACTGCCTGAGTTGCGCACAACAGGTCTCAGCTATCCGCGCCTACTGCCAAGGGTCTCGAACTTTCAAGGTCTCCGTCTTCCTGACCTTCGTAGCAAGCTGCGGGCACAACATTCTCTTGGCTGCTCTGCACTCGCGGACTTCCTCATACAAATCCAGGCCCAGCTTCAGTAGGTCCTGCAGAACAATGCCTTCGAAATTCTGCAGTTCGAAGCGCATGCGACGCTGCATGCAAAAGTCAGCAAGCCAGCCGTTTGTGAGCGCATCGGCCTCTTTGTTCTGTAGTCGAGGGAGCCAATGCAAGTGAAGCTCTGTGCCAGACTTCTGCAATTGCATGGCTAGCTCTGCCAGAAAGGCGCACAGTGGGAAGCTGGACGTAAGCAATCGCGCGACAATATGGCTGTTGCCATAGTTGTCCGTGCCTGCAGAACAACGCACACGCCCCGTCTCTCCGCGCGGCACTCCGAACAGCACGACGGCCACGAGTGTGGCCAGCAACTCCAGCGCGCCAATTTGGCGGTATGCTTCTCCAGCTGCATACAACCATGGCGCATTCGTGTGGCTCAGCTTTTCAGCAAGCCATCTTTCTCAAGCGGACTAAGGTACCGCTGGCCAGAGGCCATGTCCTTGGTGAGACGTGCAAACTAGTTAGACTACTTACAGTGAGTTTCCTCCCTAGTGAAACCACACAGGGCGACTCAAAGCTAGGCCTGGAGTTAGAATGATGGTCCCTCTGAGACGGCACTCATTGGGATTCGCACTCCACTCTACAGGGCCCGCCGAGCACCTGCCTACTCGGCTGCTTGCACCTCGTTGGGGAGTCACCTCACCCTGTGGTTGGCCAAATTGGCACGCTGAATTAAAGGGCGAGGTTCCTCAAGCCCTGTGAGTCTAAGCTACCAGGTACTTTGGCTCCTTCCCGAGGCCAGGCGTTCTCGCGCTTACTAACCGGCCACCTATGCATGGGACGCCCATAGCAGCAACCCCAACAACAAGACTCGAACAATCCTAACTACTCAAAGCCGAAATGTTCAAGGGGAGGGGCTCCTCACCCTACTTGCAGCTGGAGGGAACCTAGGACAAGGTACATCCCACCAGCCCACTTACAGAGACCCCGGGCGAATGCCAGTAGCAGGGATGGGGAAAGGTTTAGGAAGACTAGTAGCGCACACATGGCGCAGGGCCGACGCCAACCCCTCTACAAGGCGCGGGGTCCACGCGTTCCCCTAAACACAGCTGCAAGGATGCAGGGAACGACACCCCGCCCTTCAACACAGCGCAGGGCCGACGCTACCCCTCAACTAGGCGCGGGGTCCACGCTTTCCCCTAACAGCTGCAGGTGCAGGGAACGACACCTTGCAAGGCACCACAATACTAGCAACCGGAACCTGTCCTCATGCCTGCGTGGGCGTAGGCCTAGGGGTGGCACAGCAAATCCCAGCAGGGCGGCGTGCTCGCACTCACAGACCGACCTCACTGGGCTCTATGCAGACAGGCCCCGAAATTCACTGCATCTACGGGTTTAGGCACTAGAACTGAGGCTCCAGAGAAAAATCCCGGTTTTCCCCCTAGAGCCCTCCCCAGTTTTCGAGCCTTTTCTCAGGCTGCAGCGTCAAAACGGAGGCTCCAGAAATTTGGGGAAGGGTGTTTCACACGGGCCAAACTGCCTGCAAGCACGGTATGGCCGTCAAAAAACCCAAACTAATCACTGCAGCCCCGATGCTGTGACAACCACTACTGGCCTTCAGAAATTCCTACGCGAAAACTCCAGTTTAGGAAGCAGGGATTGGTGAGTGGGATGGAAGCCGTTAAGCGCAAGACCCCAAAGAAGGCAACCGCAGGACCTACATCAGGGAAAACTACTGACACCTCAACAAGCCCCACTATCACAGAAATTGACAGCACGCGTAGCGCTAAGAGAGCATCCAGCTCAGCAGACTGCACGACCTCTGGGGCTGAGGCGGCACGCGACCGGATTTGCTCCCCTAACAAGGACCTAGAAGGCAAACTAAACAACCACTAGAGAAAACCCTTCCCCGCAAGGCACCGGAATAGGGAGCTGGCGAGGCAAACCCCTCAACCTGGGGAGCTGGCAGAAAGGGGTCCCAATTTTAAGAGAGAAAGCGAGGAACGCCTCCACTTAACCTGGACTGGCCCATCATGGCCTCTGAGTAAGCTCCTCGCAGCAAACATCTGCTGATGGGCTAACTGCAGCAAAAACCTACAAAGCTGCAATTTCCAAGAAACAGGGATGAGAGTTACCCTGGCTGGGGCGAAAACTTAACAAACTGGCCACCACCAACGCCTCGCCCCAGCAAAGGCGGAGATAGATATGGGCCAGCTAGATGCAGCGAGGCCGTGCCTAAAACTTGCTTGGCAAAACAAGGAAAAAGGGGGGGGAGGGGCCAGGCAGTCAGCAGGCGACTACCCGACCTAACAAGGCACTAAACCAGCCGCACCTTATTACGCCTACTCTAGCTGCGCCTGAAGGCATCAAGGAAACAGTAGACCCTTGAGGCACAAACCTGCTTAGCGCGCACATCACAGGGCTAACAAGCCCTTGCCCCCGGACAGAGTAAGGCAGCTAGGCAAAGAGGGAGCGCACGCATGGGTACTACCCCAGCCTCTGGGCAGAACTCCAGGCGGTCGGTCACTACCGGCCTTGGCCTATCGAAGCACGTACTGCCTCCGGCAAGGAAGGCCCCAGGCGAGCTTGCTCAACCTACAAGGGCAGTCTACAGGTGAGTTGCCTCAACCTGGGCCTATCTCTGGACAGCCTACGGGCAAAGCTACAACTACCTGACGCTGAGTCGAAGCCCTTGAGCCTTGAGCCAGCAAAATCAGCAAGCCATCTGCACTTCTTCTCGTCCCGATGGTCCAGCCACCGATCCAAATTTCGTTTCCCTCGGCACGCGCATCTGTGCGGAAGAGCTCACGCTCCACTGCAGGCAATCGTCCCACAGGTACCAAGCGCCCACCAGTCTTCAGCGCTGTTGCCAAGAATCCGAAGATGAAGATGAGCGCTTTGGGTAGCTGGCACAGACACCGCACTTCAGCAGCTGCAATCCATGCGTAGACTGGCCCCAAGAAAGGACGCAGATGCCCCCAATGCCGTCAGGGCAAACGACAGCCTGCCCAACACTGCTCAAAGATCCGCGACGCAGACACACTTTTCGCACGCTGCTTTTGATAGCCAGCTGACCAACCAGTCAGCACGCCGAGCAGAGATGCCCAGTGAGCGTTCTTTTAAACAAATAGTAAATCCTACCCAGCAGAACTCAACACCGCCCCTAAATTTTCTCCAAGAAAAGGGAAGGCCTAGAAGAACATAAAAGAAAATCTGCAAGAGGATGCAATCCATGCCCCTCTTCACATTCTTGAGGAGGCAGAGCAGATCGTCAACATAGACCAGGTGCATTAGTTCTATCTTGCCCAGCAAGTATTGCGCTGACCTGCCTAGTCCGCCCGTTAGTCTGCTCCAATGGTACGACGCACTGCTGACACCAAACGTGCCAACCTTGTTGAGCCAGACAGACTCGCCCGGCCCCACACCAGTTCTGCAGGCTTGGAGGCCCCAGTCTTCTTCGGCCACCTTGACCAGACGATGGGCACGGCTCACGTCACCAGTGAGGCCGAAACGCGCACGCTGCAAGACCCGCATTGCCGTTCTCACATCGCCAGCTGTTGGCGAGCGGACCTGGTCACGCATCCGGATGGCGGAGTTTACACCAACTCCGTGCGTTCCATCATGGATCACGCGGTAGGTGCCATCCTTCTTCTCGATGGCTCCCAGAGAGGCAAGCACCAACCTGTCTCCAAAGCGCTCACGCGCTTCGCTAAGCGGTAGCTCCACCATCGCGCCCAACTTAGCCTCTTCTTGACACTGCGTCTGGGCAATGTCAGCATGGTCCTTCGCAGACAAGTAGTTCTCGCGGACGGTGTCCTCCCAATCAGCATCCTCGCCATATTTGCGAAAACGAGTCTTCTCTTCGAAGACAGCTGGTACTCGCGGCGTCTCAACCCCTACGCCCAGTCGGACCCCTTTAGCAAACGAATCAGGCCCAGAGTAGAAGGCACTGAAATCAGGGTCGCCAGAGATACGCAAGACCTCTTCTACTGCAGCCAAGAAGAACGGTTGCCCGTCAGGTTGCACACGCACAGGAAGCTGTGTACCTACATACTCAAGCGCCTTGAAAATTAGCTCGCGACCATCTTCGATAAGCTCAGCATCGAAAGGACAAGCAGTCACCTTGCCTGCCGCCAACTTAAACATGAGCTCGCGAATGTTCAGCTTGCTATTGAGTAGCTTCAGCAATTCCACACCAAGCGCTTCTGCAAAGGCCAGAGACGGAGTGTCGTCTGCGCAACGCCTCATGCTGGGCTGCCATCGCCCGGGAGAACACAGACCAAAACCGTCAGTGTAGTCACGCCTTTTTCCCAACATGCTAGAAACAAGAGGTGCCCCATAGCCACGGAGTCCGTCACCAAGCGCTGCAGCTCCAGAGTCATGATCCGCTTCCATTGGGCAAAGAGGCTTGCTTTGCACATCCGTGGCCCCATGAAAACGCAACGCAGCATCCTTGTCTTCAAACTCTGCCGACTGCAAAGCCATGATGCCTTCATATTTACACGCTTGCACGCTAGCGCAGACTGGCACAGTGTGGCTGTCACTGTCGCTATCGCTAACACTGAGGGCTGGCTCCCAGGACAGGTTCTCGGCGGCCAGACCCGTGACTGCATCCCCCCCTGTAAGCGAGGTCTGGCTTGTCGAGGTGGATAGTCACTCGTCCGATGTAGGCCGCTTGACGAGAGGGCAGTGCACATAGGAGTGCTTTGCAAAACATCGTTGACACACGTGTTCATACTTACAGTCCTCCCGTTGACAACCAGTCTTACGAGTAAACCAAAATCAAATACACTTGTTATCCGGGGTGCGATAGGACTTGCCGATGATCTTCTTGGCCTGGCTGGCCTTGCCCTTTCCCTTGCCTTTGCCACCGCCGCGCTGCCACCACGTCTCCGGCGCAGGCATGGCCAGGGACATAGGCTCCACACTACTGGCTCGCTCAGACCCTGCCAAGGTGAAGGGCACAACAGAGCCGCATTGCAAGCCCGCTTGATCACCTCGCGCAGGTCAGGCGAAGCGCCATCCCGAACATAATGATAGGCCGCCTTGCGCAATTCACCCTCATACACAAGAACCATGCTCCAAGATGGCGCATGACCGCCGGGGGCACGGAGCCCAGCAACATGTGAGCCAAGCACGTGGTCCGACAGCTCCCGAAAGGCATCCACACAGCGGTCAGGCAACCAAGACCGAGACCAGGCTCTTCACCATCTCCCACGCGAATCCAAGCCGACGACGCCGCATTCTCAGTTCCTGGCGGAGTAGTGGTGGTACGGCCCGGCTTAATGCGCAGCGTGAAGGTGGATGGGTCGATCAAGGCATTGTAAGCCTCCATTTCAGCATCTTCCAGGCTCGTCACATCGCGCAGGTCTTCGGCCTGCGGAGCATTCTCTTCAACTTGCTCGAGCTCCTGGGCCAAGAACGTCTTGCTGGGAAGTTCCTTGTCCTTTAGCTTGCCATAGAGTTTCTCAACGGCCATGCGCATTGCTGCATGCTCCGTAGATGGAACATTTCGTGCCTGAACTCCCAACTTCGCATCTGTCTTGTTCTTCTCTTGCACAGCAAGGTGCAGGCGGCAAGCGTCCCACACTGCAAGCAAGAGGGCCATGTTTCGCCGGGACTCAGCGTCAGCAGAGTAGTCCAGTGGGAGTTCAACTTTGAGAGCCTGGCGCACCTCGGCCTTCGTCTCATCGATGCCAGCGAAGACGCGGACGCAATCGAAACCAGGCAACGGAACCCCAGCTTCGTCCATCTGGTACTTCAGCTCGGACTCCACTTTCGCCAAGACAGCTGCATCATCGGCCGCCGTCATTGCAGAGAACCTTACAGGGCACACGCGAAGCAGTATGCACACGCACACAAGGGGTCGGCAAAACTCAGCCGGCAAGCTACACGTTAACTGGCTGTAAACTCGGCCAGCTCTCCACGCAGTCAACACTGAACCACGCAGCACAACGCAGGCAGGCACAACTAGCCCGTCTCAAAGCTGAAGCACAAAGCAAGCTCAGACTGGCACATCAAGCCCTTCTGCGCAAACTGCTTTACTATCGGCGACACGCCCATAGACTTATTAGTTCGCGTTGCCCACTCCCAGCCTGGCACACACAGGCAAACTGCGCGAACTGAGGTACACAATACTGATTCGACACAAAGGCTGCGCACCAGAAAGAGCTACAAGTCTACATGAGCATGTAAGAAAAGAGCAAACATTTGCCGCGCCATGCTAGGCACGCTTGCGCACTTCCGAATCAGCAGCACTCGCCGACGCAAACGACATGTCAAAGCCTAGCACAAGCGCAACTTTAGAGCTATCATCCAGCAAGCACACTACTCGCCGGCCGACTCCGACTCTGTAGCAGATCTGCTACTTGAACTGCTAGAGGAGCTCCCTTCACTACTGCTGTTCTCGGACAGCTCAACACTGTCGTCCGGAGCATTGCCCCGACGCCAGCAGTGCTTGCACGCAAGATCGTACTCAGCGTCCCTCAGATGCAAAAGAGGGATCATCTCGCGCAGGTCGCCAGGAACAGTGCCTTACGATGGAGGCGGCGAAAGCGCTTCTTGCCGACCACAGCAATATAGTACGGAGCCTCCTCACTGCCAGCTGGGCACGTGGCCAAGACGACCTCAGGCGCGACAAGCACCGGATGATCGCTCACAACATCGCTGGCCACGCTGCTGGGCTGCGAGGCTGCCACTGCTGCCAAGGTGAGTAAAAGCTTCTTCTCCTGGGCCCGTCTCACCTCTTCAGGGTATCCCTGCGATTGCAGGAAGTCAAGCAGGTCATCGATACCCGCACGGCACAACTCAGTGTTCCCAGCCAGACCACGTACCGCTGTCTTTTGTAGCTGCAACACAATTTCCCTGGAAGCGCATATGGGTATGTGCGTGAAAAGGGGTGCCCTTTCGAGGATGT